ATGTGAGCTACCCAAATTCATTGGCACGGCCCATCCGTACAAGTGTATTGGGCCTATCAAAACGCTGTCGTTTTAGTCCTTCAATTCCATTCCATTTTTCTTGAGGGAAAAGACACCGTGGGATCTAAAGAAAAGAAGCGAGCAAGTTTTTGCTTTGGCTTTGGCTTTGGCTTTGGCTTTGTTGAGTTCCTCTTCTCTCAGACGCCTTCGCTTTTCTCTGACCTCTTCGCCATGACGAAGCAGCAAGCCAACTGGTCTCCCTACGACAACAATGGCGGGTACTTTCTCTATCCTTTTCATTCTCTATGCACTGTTTTAGATGTTTATTTTATCTGTTTCGGGGATGAATCAGTGCCACACTTTGTGCAGATCGTGTGTTGCGATTGCCGGCGCCGATTACTGTGTAATCGCCGCTGATACTCGGTTGTCTACGGGTTACAATATCCTCACTCGCGATTACTCCAAAATTTGTAAGCTGTACGTCAATCTCTTGTCGAATTTAAGTTTCTTTCCGAATTTGAATTCTTAAGGTTACTGGAGTTTCACATTGGTTTTATGTTTTGTTTTTTTTTCTCATGTGTGTTAGAAATGGATTATTTCCCCTCTTATGGTGTTTCTTTTCTTCCTGGAAATTTTATTGGGCTTCGGGTTTTATTTTATGGTTTTATGGCTATTGCTTGGGGATAGACTTCTGGATTCTAGAGTTAACTCAGGGTCATAGTTTGGTGGACTTTGAACGAAATGAGCGGTTACTTTTGTTTTTTTGAAGATTTTTCTTTGGTGTGTGATAATAGCTGGATTAGCTTGTGAATGAAATTGGTGCCAACTTACATGAGGTTTGCAGCTGTTGAACTTAAAAATTTGGTCATTTCGTGTTTTTGTTTGGGAAGTTTTGGTTTTGCCTCGGAAGAGTTATGGATCCGTTGGCAGTGTCGAGGAAAGGTTATGAAAGTAATGGAGATGCATTCGGGATGGATCTGTTGGATGCTGATTTATTACATGTGATTTTGTGTTTATTTGAAAAAATGATTTAGGAGGCTAATTATCACGTAAATCCTACCTTTAGTTCAAGGTACAAAATGGTTTATGATACTTCTAATTGGTCAGAGATATTACTAAATTTAGAATGTTATTCAAGTGGCCGATATAAGTGTCTAATGTTATGTATTCTTTTGTTATGTTACGCCATAGTCATTTGATTTCCTCAATTTGGTCACGACAGATTTCCTCATATTTTGTTATTGAACTTCACGAATATAAATCCTGATCACTAATTCCACTACAAGAGTTTCATGTTATGCACTTTTGATTTTATTGTTGTAATGTTACTAGTATACTTCACATACCTAAAAGCTCACGCATCCAAGCACGTGCTTACATTTTATTGATGTGCTTATTTATAATTCTTGGTGTTGCAGGGCCGACAAAGCTGTGATGGCTTCCTCTGGTTTTCAAGCTGATGTGAAAGCCTTACAAAAGGTTTTGTCTGCTAGGCATTTGGTGAGACTTTTATCTAAATGGACATGTCTTCCATGGTTGATCTTTGTAATGCATATTGGCCATATGCTATGTTATAAGATTTATTTCCAAGCCATTGAGTTTTTGATGCACCTCATTGTTCTTATTTTCTTTGAGTTTGATTGTGTTTGGGTTACTCATTTCCTTCTTGTGATTTTGATATCTGTTTTTGTAGCTTTGCTTGTATTAGGCTTGGATTATTGTGTATGTATCATGTACTTCACTTCATATTGCTGCTGCTGCATCCCTTAAAATTGGGATAGCATGGCTTTAATGATTTCCGACGCCCGTGCTTCCCCAATGGCACTTTGTTCCTCTCCTTTTATATGTAGTTTTCAATGACAATATGGTTTTTTGATCTTATAGTGATTTTAGAGTGAAGAGACTCGAACTTCTCTTTTTGTGTTTTTCAATTCTGTAATGTTTTTTCTTTAACTTATTTTGTGTTCATTTTGGTATTTTTGCCCTTTTCGTGTTGGGTTTCTAATCCTAGTCTTTCATTGCGCAAACTAATGTTGTTCATAATGGAACCCCATTTTTCTTTTAAAAAATGTGTACAAGGATTGTTTCGAAAATGGAATTGAACTTTGTGGTGTATAATCTACTTCGACTCTCAATTACACTAATTTGGGAGAAGCCCATGGACAAAGCATCCTGGCAATTTCAGTTTTTAAATTTATAATGTATTTTATGGACATATGATCCGGGTCGGAGGATTGGTATGTAATTCTTTATTTTGATGCCTTATATGTTACTTGCTTGACTTTCAGACCTACCAACATCAGCACAACAAGCAAATGAGCTGCCCGGCGATGGCTCAACTGCTCTCAAATACATTGTACTTCAAACGTTTCTTTCCTTATTATGCTTTTAATGTCTTGGGCGGACTTGATAATGAAGGTATACGACTTCCCTGCTTGTGGTTCCAGTTTTATACCTCACTTTCCCATTAACTATAAGTTATTCTCTTCTTGAAACAGGAAAGGGTTGTGTGTTCACCTATGATGCTGTTGGTTCTTATGAGAGAGTTGGATACAGCGCTCAGGGTTCGGGTTCCACCCTTATTACACCCTTTTTAGATAACCAACTGAAGTCTCCCAGCCCTCTATTATTGCCTGCGCAGGTATGATCTTACCCTTCCTTGGTAGGAATGTGCCTGGAAACTACATATTGGTTCATGGAAAATCGTGTCGAAGATGTTTTCCCCACCTTTTGAAAACTGAGCTAGCTGCTTGGCAAAAATAGACAAACTAATAGATTCCAAACTGAATCAAATAGTTTTTTTTTTTTTTTTTTTATACTTTTGAAATGGATAAGAATAGTGACAAAAACCACTGGGAGTAAGAAACCTGGAAATGCTCCGTTATAGGCATTAAAGAGGGAAAAAATATATCAAACCAAGTGTTTTGATCTCTCCGAAAATATGTTTGTCCCGCAATCTGCGCAGCGCTCCTTTATACTTATTGATACAAAGTGTGAGATCCCACATCGGTTGGGGAGGAGAATGAAGCATTTTTTTACAAGGGTGTGGAAACCTCTCCCTACCTGTTTTAAAAACCTTGAGGGGAAGCCCGAAAAGAAAAGCCCAAAAATAACAATATTGGCTAGCGATGGGCTTGGGTTGTTACAAATGGTTTCAGAGCTAGACACCGAGCGTTGTCCCAGTGAGGAGGTTGAGCCCCGAAGGGGGTAGACATGAGGCGGTGTGCTACCAAGGATCTTAACCCCAGAGGGGGGAGGGTGGATTGAGGGGTCCTACATCGATTGGAGAAGAGAACGAGTACCAGTGAGGACACTGGACTCCGAAGGGGGTGGATTGCGAGATCTTACATCGGTTGGGGAGGAGAACGAAGCATTCTTTATAAGGATATGAAAATTTCTCCCTAGGAGACTTGCTTTAAAAACCTTGAGGGGAAGCCCGAAAGAGAAACCCTAAAGTGGACAATATCTACTAGCGGTTGGCTGGGAGCCATTGATCCCCAAGCAAATAACACCAAATTATTCTCCTCCGTCCTCTAACTTATATGCTCCCCCTCGTGTGTCCCTCTTTTGCGTACGAGAGGTTTACTTTGTCTATCTGGTATAGTTCAAAGTTCCAACCAACTGGTCCAGCTCTTTCCAGTTGATTTTGTTATTTTTCTGATTTTGGCGTGCACTCCTATTTTCTCCCCTTCACATCTCTCTCTCTCAGCTAACAAATTACGATGAACAGGATTCTGCAACGCCTCTTTCAGAAGCCGAAGCTATTGACCTGGTGAAAACTGTTTTTGCATCTGCTACTGAGAGAGATATCTACACTGTAATTCTCTTCCACTATTCATATACACCTTATTCTGAGCAAGTATCTTTACAGATTCCAACTCTGAATTTTTTTATGTTCATAGGGTGACAAACTCGAAATCGTCATTCTTAATGCCGACGGTATTCGACGTGAATACTTAGACCTCCGAAAAGATTAGCAGCACGGTGCTCGGCTTGATAGATTGAATGTTACTGCAACCGTATGAACCGCCCATCAGTACCCGTCCCTGAGATTATTGCATTGTGATATTTACGGATGGTTAAGTTTTAGTTTTCTCTCTGTAATGTGACCTCGTTTCCAAATTAAAGTCCCTGTTGTGAACGTGGGTTTGTACTAAAATCTGGAGGGCTGCTGGCTGATATTGATCGATCTCCTTTTTTTTTTTGCTACCGTTAGACCTTAAGGAATTGTTTTTTTTTTAGTGGTAAGTTCATGAGAAGCTGGATTTTTGAATCTTTGGTTTAATTAATTGAAGCTAGGTGGCATATGGTCTTCAAAAAGTTAAAATATCATATTGTTGGTTAAAATATTCGAGATTGAAATTCTCGTTCTACACGACCTGTTTATTTAGTTCTATCCCACCCGAGAGTTGTGATCCCTCTTGTTTCATATCGGCTGGAAGTTCGTTCAAAAATGTTATCGCCTCTCCTTTTTGGGCTTGAGTTCAAAGATGTTTTTGTCTGCATGCCATCCCGTGTTTCTTGCTTGAGACCATTTTTTATTAGTCCGGTCATGAACCACCCTAGTTGGAGCCTAAAAGAAATAACATTTTATCATAATAGGGTGAGTTACAACAAGAGGTCTCTTAAGATAGCTTCTTCTATTTTCTCATTTGAAAAGTAATCTTTCGGGTGAAACTTTCTTTCACCTATTAATTCAAACACTGTAAATTTGGTTAGTGTGTCTTGGAGCTTGGACATGTATTTTTTTTTCTTGAGTTCAACATGTGTAATTAATTCGGTTGGTTATCTACGTAGTATTATCAAGTGATATATTTTAACTAGGAACAAATTTACATATATATGTTTTTTTTTTTTTTTTTTTTTTTTTTTTTTTTTGGTGATATATGGAAAAAAATAACTATATGAAGTAATTTATACTTGTCAGATAAAAGAATAATTAAAATAAGCTAATAAAAATGAACTACGAAATTCTTGCGTACTTTAACAATTGAAGTGAAAGAGGTTAAAAAGGAAGTGGAGGGGGAATCGAGCGATCGAATCATCTAAATTAGTCTTCGCCTGTGCTCCATTTCATAGCTTCCGTCCCAAGCTTCTCTGCCACTGCACTCCTCTCTTCAATGGCTCGCAACAGGGTAAACTCTTTACTGTCTTTACTTTCTTCTGCTTTTGCTTCGATCTCTTCGGATTACGGCTTCTTCATGCGTGGCTAAGCTGAGTTAGTTTTTAATGCGCTCGGTCTCAGTTATTCAGTCTTTCTTTGCAACAAGTTCAGTTCAATTTCGCTAACACTTGAGTTAGTACGCTTGTGTTTACGGCTAGGGTTTAGGTTTCGTTGTCTAAGGAGCTAATTAGGATTGAGGATGTTGGCTCGAGTTTCTTAAAGGTTCTCGAGTGCTACAAAGTCTGAATGAATGAGGATTATTGATCTCCTTTAGCCTGTGAATTCAATTCATAGGAAAAATTGTAACCAGTACCAATGTTTTAGCTTGGACAGAGGCATGTTTCTTAGCATATTTGTTCTAAGAAATATTTGTAACAATTAGCAATCGGGATATTGGCCACACTTCTTGCTTGTGTTCTTCAGCCATGCGTCACTAATACTCGGCATCGGCCTTTCGAGAAATAACAAGGTTTTAAGTTTTCAATGTGAGACATGATCTGTTGGAGGTAATAGGTTCAAGCCATGAGAAAAATTATCGAGGGAGGCTGCCACAATGTGTCTGCATCTTAAGAACGGTCGGATGTAGATCCATAAATATATCAGCCCTTTATATATATTCAATTTCTTCCACACATCTAATGGTGCAAAACAACTAGTCACATTATGTGGCCTCCGAGGGGAACGAGTGCCAACAAAGACGCTGAGCCAACGAAGGGGGTGGACACTGAACGAGTGCCAGCGAGGACACTGGGTCCCGAAGGGTGGTGGATTGTGAGATCCCACATCGATTGGAGAGGGGAACAAGTTCCAGCGAGGAGGCTAGGCTCTGAAGGGGGGTGGATTGTGAGATCTCACATCTGTTAGGGAGGAGAACGAAACATTCTTTATAAGGGTGTGGAAACCTCTCCCTAATAGACACGTTTTAAAAACCTTGAGGGAAAATCCGAAAGGGAAAGCCCAAAGAGGACAATATCTGCTAATGGTAGGCTTGAATTATTACATTGTATGACTATAAGGCTCACCAACCTCTTTGTTCGAAATCTGAGGATTTCTTCACGACTCACTTATCACAATTAGATTTAGACCATGACTCTAATACCAACGATTAAGGACAACAAAACCTCCTTCTATCTCCCCCTTAATATGAAGTTGTGCTCTTTGAACTTCATGACTTTGCTTTTAATTTTTTAAAAAGGTCCTGTTCCAATGGATATTATTGCTCTCACTTATATACCCACAATCACTCTCTTTTGTAGCTAATGTGGCACTTTTTTTGCATTTCTAACATTAATATCCTAACATTGAAAACTAAATGTAGTAAGGTTGGTGGTTGTCCTACGAGGGCATCCTTGGGGGTGCCTATGAGCTATAACTTAAAGAACACTTTTAAAGCTACAATTTTTCTTCTATCTTAGCAAGTGCCAAGCTAATATATCATATTTTTATCCTATATGCATATTTCTTACATTCAAGGATTTATGTTAAATGGAATAGGAAATCTTGGTGCTTGTGCTGGATGTTGGTCCATCAATGCACTCTGTTCTCCCTGAGGTTGAAAAAGTGTGTTCAATGCTGGTGGAGAAGAAGGTATTACCGTCGTCAAGGTCCCATTTGATAACGATTTTGTTTTTAGCTATTTGTTTTTTGAAAATTATGCTTGCTTCCTACTATTTCTTTACTATCGATAACTAAATTGGTTAACTTTCAATGCTGGTGGAGAAGAGGCTAAATTTTTTTAAACAATTTTATAAATTGGATAACTAAACAAAAAAGTAGTATTTTTAAGCTTAATTTTCAAAAACCAAATAGTTATGGAGCAAGACCTAGCGTATCTAAAATTTTCCTTCAATTGAAGTCTATCGAGTGTATTATCTACCCAATAATTTTTTATGTATCAGAAGTTATTTAATTTTTATCCTCTTGTGATGCAGCTGATTTACAGCAAATATGATGAAGTGGGAATTGTTCTATTTGGAACCAAAGGTTTCTCCCTTTTCTTTTCTTATTTTATTTTCACAATAAAAATTTTACGATGTTTTTCCGTCTTCCGTTTGCTATGTTTCATAGCTTTTGTATTCTCGTAGAATTCATCGGCAGACATGGTTGAAATTTTCTGTATCTAGTTCATGTACGGACTACTTACCTATGCAATGAAATTCGTAGAAACGAAAAACGAGCTAACAGAGGAAGTTGGTGGGTATCAACATGTGGTGGTTCTACAGAACATGAAAGTTGTTGATGGAGATCTTGTTGATGTTTTAAAACGACTCCCTCGAGGGACCGTTTCCGGTGATTGTATCCAAGATTTTGCAAGTTCTTTGTTCTTTTGTTTCATAGCTGCATCATTTTATAATAGATTATTGGATGTTTCTTAAATTAAGTGTCCAAATTTTTCATACCTTTGGTTCCTTTACATGGTGGGTAGTTCTTGATGCCATAATTGTGGGAATGGATATGTTGATTAAGAAATTTGGAGAGACAGAAAAAGGAAAGAAACGCTTATGTCTTATTACAGATGCTCTATTCCCTATAAAAGAACCTTATGAAGGGACTAAAGAGGACCAAGTTTCGGCCATTGCGCAGCAGATGACAAAACATGGCATGAGAATGGATAGTGTCGTTGTGAGAAGGAGGTTCAGTCGGGATGCAGATGAGAAAATGATGGACGAGAACGACGTTCTCTTGAACATATTTTCAGAGAAAACGAATGCAAAAATGGTGTATGTGGAGAGCCCAACTTCGTTATTGGGTGCAATCCGGACTCGGAGTATATCGCCCGTGACAATTTATAGAGGCGATCTTGAAATAAGCTCCGTCGTCAAGATGAAGGTAAAGTATTTAGTCTCTTACATGGCTTATTCCAAGCATTTTCAGTGACTTTCTTGAAAAATATCTGGCATATCGAGCATTGGAACTTTTTGGTAGAAATCGAGGGTATCTTTTATCTTTTTTACACATGATTGATAGTCATCATTGATCAAAGTTCATGCTCTAATTCAATCAGGTATGGGTTTATAAGAAAACATCAGAAGAGAAGTTTCCTACTCTGAAAAGATATTCTGATAAGGCACCTTCAACTGATAAATTTGCCACACATGAAGTCAAGGTAGATTACGAGTACAAAAGCGTGGAAGACACTAGTAAGGTCGTGCCTCCAGAACATAGGATTAAAGGATATCGTTACGGACCTCAAGTGATTCCGATATCGGCGGCTGAATGGGATGCAGTCAAGTTCAAACCAGAAAAGAGCGTGAAGCTTCTCGGATTTACGAATGCATCGAATATAATGCGGTAGATTCTAGCTGTTTTGAAAATTTTATATTCATAACTTGTGTTGTGAAATCTCTTGGTTTGCTTACATTTTTGTTTGAAGGCACTACTACATGAAAGACGTCAATGTCTTTATTGCTGAACCTGGCAATAAAAGAGCCATTGTTGCAGTTTCTGCACTAGCAAGAGCAATGAAGGAAATGGACAAAGTGGCAATAGTGCGATGTGTTTGGAGACAAGGACAGGGGAGCGTCGTGGTCGGTGTCTTGACACCCAACATATCGGAGAAGAATGGTATTGTATGTCTAAATACATTTTTCTGCATACTTTCTTTTGTTCTATATCGGAGAAGAATGGTATCGATGATCGTTTTTGATAGGCCGATTCATTATACTTCAATGTACTTCCCTTTGCGGAGGATGTTCGAGAATTCCAGTTTCCTTCTTTCAACAATTTTCCAGCATTGATGCAGCCGAGCGAAGAACAGCAAGAGGCAGTGGACGAATTCGTTAAGATGCTTGATCTCGCACCATCTGGACGAGAGGAAATTCTGCAACCGGATTTCACACCAAATCCTGTTCTTGAGGTATGCCTTTATGTTTTATTTGTTTTTTCGAATCATTCAGACACACAATTTACCGTGCATTTCTGTTGAGAATCCCACATTGGTTGAAGAGGAGAACGAAACACTCTAGAAACTTTTCCCTAACAGACGCGTTTTAAAAACCTTGAGGGGAAGCCCGAAAGGGTAAGTCCAAAGAGAACAATATCTGCTAGCGGTGGGCTTGGGCCATTACAACTTCCTCCTATTTGATGTTTCTAATAGACAGTGTATTGTGTTTGCAGCGCTTTTATCGTCATCTCGAGTTGAAATCGAAGGATCCAGCTGCGGCTGTACCTCCACTCGATACAACTCTCCAGAAGATTACCAAGCCAGATCCCGACTTGTTGTCTCAAAACAAATCTGCTATTGGCACATTCCACAGAAGATTCGAACTCAAGGAGAATCCGAAGGTAGTTAATCATCGACTTTGTATTCGATAATTGATACATTCCTGTTATCGAAATTTTGAATGTGATCCAAAATGCAGCTAAAGAAACCAAGAAGGCTATATTTACGCGAAAAACCATCCGGTTCGAGCGACAAAGAGGATAATGAAGAGATTTCTGCTCAAATTGTCGTCTCTGCTGCGAATACGTCGGTAGTTAAGGTAGAAAAAATCGGAGATTCAACACCTCTCCAAGATTTTGAAGCTATGATGTCTAGAAGAGATAATCCAGAGTGGATCAATAAAGCAATCAATGGCATGAAAAACAAAATTTTCGACCTCGTCGAAAACTCCTGCGATGGTGATAACTATCCAAAAGCTCTCGAGTATCTGCTCGCGCTACGCAAGGGTTGCATTATTGAACAAGTATATTACTCTCTATCTGTCTCTTCTTTTTCACGCTCGAGAATAAAACAACTCATGTTTCAAACAGGAACCGACGCAATTCAACGATTTCCTCCGCCATCTCTGTAAATTTTGCCTGGAAAAAAACCTCCATAGCTTCTGCGAGTTACTTGCATTCGAACGACTTAACTTGATCTCCAAGAAAGAAGCGGCCGACAGGTTTAATATTCGTTTTTCTTGTTCAAACCGCCATGAAACTCTTCTTTACACTGTTCTTCTGCAAAAGTTCTGAGTTTGTTTATCATATATTGAACAGTGAAGTAGCTGATGATGAAGCTAGAAGCTTTTTGGTTAAAATGGAGCCTAAATTTGAGCCTAAAATGGAGCCCAAATTAGAGCAAATCTAGTGATGAAGGTACTTACCGTTCATTACATGTATATATGTAATTTTACGTGTTCATCCAATGTTCATTAACTAATCTTCTCTGAATTGAATTATACAGCTTCTTTAATTTTACTTTTTTATCTTTAATTTTTCCTTTATTATTGTTGAAATTTTATTTTACATTTAATGGGAAATTTTAATTAGTCCATTTCTTTAATTTATCTCCAAATTCATTAATTTTAATATGTAAATTCATGTAGGTTTATATACAATTTTCTTTTTAATTTATTATTTACATTTGTATTTTCCTTCAATAGGTAGCTTATATAAACACAGTAAAATAGTAAAAAAAAAAAAACATTAATAAATATAGAAAATCATTGTTAATACAGTTTCAAAAAAATTATTTATTGTGGTGAATTTGTAAATATATTTGTAATCACGATCGAGGTAAAAAAAGATTGGTTAAAGAGTAAAAATTGCATCTTTTATCACGATTGAGGTAAATATTGGATGAAAAGTCAACTATTGAATTTTCATATTATTAAGATGTCATTATTTTCGCAATAAAGTTATTTTTTTAAAAAAATACATGATATATATAATGTATATATGAAAAATAAATTATTATTTTTTTTTGTTAAATTACAAATTCTAAATTTAATTGCCTACCACTATTCTCAAGGTTGTGGGAGTAAGTCCGAGGGGATGATCATGAGTTTATAATTAAATAATATTCCCTTCATTGGTTTGAGATCTTCCGAGAAGCCCAAAGCAAAGTTATGAGCGTCTATGCTCAGAATGGACAATATCATACTATTGTGGAGATCCGTGATTTCTAACATATTATATCGAGCTCACAAAGTTAGGTTCTATAATTATTTGATTTTTTATTTTGAAAATAACTTTTTTTCATCACCCTTTTTCTCTGCCTTTAATTTTCTTTACAAAAATATTTAAACTCTAATAAAAATTTAAAACAAGAATGATTTTGATTTTTTTTTCTTTTTTTTTTAGTTTTAAAAATTAAACTTTGTTTTTAATAACAAGTATGAAAATAAATAACAAAACTGAAAAAGAAAAGCTATTGATGGAAATTTAGCTCGCCTTCTGTTCAGCTTCCGTAAATAAATATAAATACCGCCTACGCCAAATTCAGCGCACCAGTCTTTATTTATTAACTGCTTTAGTTGAAGGAGTGTCTCCGGCTGTTTCTTCTCCTCGTTGACGATCATGGAATTCGAAGCTCAGGCTCAGGTACTTGTCTCTCTCCCTCTCTCGAGCGGGCGCGCTTTCTTGATATCGTTTGATCTGAAGATAAGATAGTTACAGAGACGGATTCACTTTTCTTACTCGAGATCTTTAACAAATGTTGTATAATGATGATTATACTTTTGTTTTTTTTGATATTGCTGAAGAGCTCGGACGGTTCGTCGACGTCTTCGAAGCTGGTTCTTTATTCTTTCTGGCAGAGCTCCTGCTCGTGGCGTGTTCGCTTTGCGTTGAATCTCAAAGGTCTTTCTTCTTCTTCTTCTTCTTCTTCTTCTTCTTCTTTGAGTTTACTGGAAAGTTCATCTGTGATTTTCAAGAACAGAGTCTGATTTGTTTTGAAATGCACGGTTATCTTGTTTAAATTGAGTACTAAGCGGATATGAAGATTGTAATTGTAAATCAAATGAATCAAGAATTTGAGTTTGAAGAAGATTTGTCGCAATACGCACAGTGATGTTGTTTAAATTGATTCCTAGCTGAAATGTAGACTGTGATAGTAAAAATCAAATGAATGAAAGTTGTTGAACTTGATACTTCTATTAACTGAAGTGATTTTGCGGCTGTTGCTTAGGGCTTTCTTACGAGTACAGAGCAGTAAACCTTGGGAGAGGAGAGCAATTAAGTCCAGGTAGATCTCGACTTTGATGTGTTAGTGCGAATCGATGGAATCAAAACTGCTTAACGATTTTTTATTTTTTTTTCCTTCCGAGATGCAGATTTTGAGCGCCTAAATCCTCTCAAGTATGTTCCTGTATTAGTAGATGGTGCTGTGGTAGTTTCAGATTCTTACGCGATTTTACTGGTTGGTATTAAGAGAAGGGAGATGACTTTGTTCAATTCCGTGACGAAAACATTGAACATCTGAATTGGCCGCAATGGCTCAGCAAATACCTGTTCAGAAGAGTTTGAATTCTCACGGACTTGAATCTACTAGTCATCATTTTTTTTATCGTGCCTAGTTTTGATACTCTCTTGCTCGTATCCTAAATTATGCTTGTAACGCTTGCAATTTATTGTTATTGTTTAGTATTTGGAAGAGAAATATCCACAGAAGGCGTTGCTGCCTGCTGATCTTCATTTAAAATCTCTTAATCTGCAAGTAAGATCAATACTGGCCAACAACAAATTGAAACGTTTAAAAAGAGCTGTCTAGATCTATGTTTTGAGTCTATACTCGAAACATAGTTCAAATGACAGTGGATTAGCTAGCTTGCATCAATGGAATGGTTACTTTTAGTTTTGTAGCCTGTTAACACTAGATCGCTATTAACTCTAGTGAAAATTGAGCAATAAAATCATCTGTAATTTTTTATTCTAAAAAACTTAAAAGAAAATCTATAATACACTGCCAATTAGAATTCACTTATACTTTAGTCTGGTTATATGTGTATCATTATATTGACAGGAAAATCATTTTGCAGGTGGCAAGTATTGTCAGCTCAAGCATACAGCCTCTTATTATGTTGGGATTGCTGGTAAATTTTATTTGCATGTGATTTATTTGCGCTTGCTGTATTACAGATATATCTGAAGTTATTAAATTGTTTCTAGAAAACTATCGAGGAAAAATTTGGTCCAGAAGAGCAACTACCATGGGCTCAGACTAATATAGAAAATGGTTTCAATGGTAAGTTTGTGAATTTTTCGGTGTTCATTGCTGTAATTATGCTTAGAAAAACGCACTGTTTAAAGAAATATTGAGTGCACTAAATTAGTATGTGAGAATGCAATTGTTATGGTCCTCAATTTTGCATCTGTTGTGTATTACAGCTCTAGAGAAACTGCTGAAGAATTTTTCTGGCCGATATGCGCTGGGAGAAGAAGTATATATGGCACGTTTCAAAATATTCTCGATTCTTTTGCTATTTAATATTTCATTTTTGAAGTCTTATCGTAATGATCTTAAATCTTAATCTTGTTTTGTCACATGCAGGCTGATGTATTTTTGGCTCCCCAAGTTTCTGTTGCTTTTGGGAGGTTCAACATTGACACGGTATTGTATTTTTTCCATTCTTATTTATGAATCTCACCTCGCAATTATGTGGCATTCTGCTTACAGAAGTATAGAATACATATTACATTAACCCCCTTTAAAAATAAAAAGAGTATTATTAATATCAAAAATGAAAATGTCACTCAAGTAATCCCACCTTGAGTTTGTTGGATGATAGAAGTCGCACATCGGCTAATTTAGGGAATGATCATGGGTTTATAACAAAAAATACTTTGTCCATTGGTATGAGACATTTTGGGAAGTCCAAAGCAAAGCCATGAGAGCTTATGCTCAAAGTGGACAATATCATACTATTGTGGAGAGTTGTGTTCGTTTAATATGGTATTTAGGGCATAAGATAATTCATCACTTGTCCGAGATTGAAAATTTGAAGTCTCATTAGTTGAGCTTGTTGCATTACATACAGACTTCCCATTAGATTTTTTTTTTTTTTTTATTAACTATAGTTGAAAACTCATCTCTAGATGTTATTGGTTTATAAGACAATTAGAAAAAACAAGCATGGTCCCGAAAACTCTCTCACTCGTAACAAATTTCGGGCATGTTGATAATGCAGTCCAAGTTCCCTGCTTTAGCAAGGATTTATGAATCTTACAAGATGTTACCAGAATTCCAAGCCTCGTCACCAGAAAGGCAGCCCGACGCCCTTCACTAGTTCTGTCATCTCCACATGGTACTATTAAACACTTCACGGTTACTACAATTATTGATGCTAAACTCCTGTCTCTTACATATTTCATTTAATTCTCATTTTATAGGTTACAAGAGCTCTATTTTAACGTTTATCTATTTGTATCAACAGCTGCCCGTCTAGCTCAGTTGGTAGAGCGCAAGGCTCTTAACCTTGTGGTCATGGGTTCGAGCCCCATGGTGGGCGGAAGGTTTTATTTTTGTAAATTGTATTATTTACTATACGCTTTGCTCTTTTAAAATTTTCAAGCTAAATACTCTCTCCATTTCTTTCTTTATCCACTTAATTTTCCTTTTAGGAGACCACACGGTTTTTGCTATGACATTTGGTTGATCTGGTTATCAAAAAAATTGTCCGTCTAGTTCAATGGGGAGATGGGCGAAGGTAATCTTTTATTTATTCCATATTATATTATATTCGGCTTTTTATGGTCTCTCCATTGATTCTTTCCTCTGAGATTTATTTTTTATTGCTTCTCTTTCTTTCTACAAATGAAGTATGAGAAGACTCAAATTTGAATTTGTGATATGTTCTTTGCTTTACTTTCGTTTTACGAATGAAGGGCTTTATTGGAATTTCCTATTTTTAAATATCCTATACAAAAATTATGGGAAATAATGGAGTAAAAAAAAGTTTTGTGCTTTTTGATTTGGCAATTCATATCTCTCCTTAGATAGCAAGTGTAGTTGAGTTTGACTGAAATAGTGCACGATTAGATAATAGTTTGTCTGGCCAGTTTAAAGAATTGATGTTAAGAAATGTTAAACAAGTATGGTGAGTTGTTTTGATTTAGAATTCATATCAAAATTGCCTATATAGCTTAGTTGGTAGAGTGCAATGCTCTTAACCTTGTGGTTGTAGGTTTGAACCCCATGGTGGGCTGTATGTTTTTTTTTTTTTTTTTTTTTTTTTTTTTTTTTTTTGTAAAAATTGTATTAAATATTATTACTATTCGATTTTGTCTTTTAAAATTTTCATGCTAAATACTCCCGCCAGTTTCTTTCTTTATCTACTTAATTTTCCTTTTAGGAGGCCACAAGGTTTTGCTGTTATCAAAATAATTACCGGGCGAAGGTAATTTTTTTTTAATTCCATATCATATTATCATATTATATTCCGCCCTCTAGGTCCATTGCTTTCTTTTCTGAGATTTGTTTTTG